TTTTTCTTTTTTTTTTTTTTTTTTTTTTTTTTTATCACATGCATAAAAGAAAATGCGCTTACTTTTTAAATTCGGCAATGTCAGTGATGTATTTATCAGAGATTGTGAACTAAGTCTTCTTGTAAACTCTGATAAAAATGGAGTTTCATAGCTTGCAAGATCTTTCTGATTTGTAATATCTCTTCCACTCACGTCTTCTTTTGTAAACTGAATTGAGGAGACACTTGGCTTCACAGGAGAAACATTATACTTCATGTCCTTTGTTATGTGGACAGGTCTGGTTTTCGACGTTTGATCATAATCGAACGATCCACGATCATATACTCGAGTATCAGACAATCTGTTACTCGGATTGGACAGGTATTTATCATATGAGCGTACATAAGTGCTTCCAGTATCTTCCACTACATCCGAATCCGATCCAGTCTCCAAACCATCGGATGCATAAGATCTTTGTGTTTTGATAAATTTGTTGTGTGTAGTTTTTGATGTTACACGAGTCGTAGAAGACACGCTCGAGTTGTCGAAATCCGTTGCATTGGGATCCTTGAATTCTGAATGAGGTGGTGATAAATTCTCCTTAACTGGATTCTTTGTTACATTTGTAGCATCAGGAGGAATAATTGAAGGTGGAGGCATAGGATTCGCTAGCGTTTGCCGACGCAAATTTGAACTCTTTTTCTTCTTAATGACATTAGTGTTTGTGTCGTCATCTGTGTCATCGCTGCTATATCTAATACACAGATGAAAAAAAATATTGGATAAAGATACAAATATAAAATATACATACATATTTAAAATATTGTTATCTAATTGAAAATAAAGCAAATTTCCAGACTGGAGTCTGTCTTATTAACATTGTTGAAATTCTCTTTACAAGACTTTGATGCAGAAAATGTTTTTAACATACTATTTGCTTCAAAAACATAATAATTTCAAGGAAGTTAAGTTAAATAGTAACTGGCGCAAAAAGAAAAAACTTTGTATCATATTTCACAAACAAAACAAGACAAGTATTGTGTTGTTTATACATCTTTTTTCTGTCTAATATTGAGACTGATTATAATTTCTGATGTTATAGGTACATGAGAAGAAAATCATCTTTTACCTATCCATGAATAAACGTAAGAATCATATTATCGCGTGCTAGTATATGCGAAATTTAAACTTGACGAAATTGTATCCGATTTCTCTGCTCTGACTCTTCTCTCTCTCTTTCTCTCTTCCACAGATACTAAATACATACTTGTCTCGAGCGCGAAAAATGTATATAAATATGACACGGCTAAAAGAAAACTCTTCTTCGGGACATCTTCACTGAGGAAAAACGCTCACCTCGCAGCCAAGGAATCGATGAGGTTCTTCAATTTCTTGACGAGTATCTTGCGGGTCGTCTGCGTCACCGGTCCCACCGGGTAACCGTATTCCATCAGCTTCGTCCGCAATTCAGAGTCGCTCAGCGTGTCCACCGACATTTTGTTCCTCACTTGTGAGTATAATCGCGATCCTTACTATAAAACAAGCCCGCTTTAACGGCTCGACCGTGATTACGATGTGCAAACAGGCAGGCCACCGCCGGACGCCTGTTTTCGTTTTCTCGTTTATTTCGATCGATGATCAAGCCCGCCTGTCCTTCGATGACGCTCTCGTACCGCGCACGTGGATGACGATTATCCTGCCAGACTAACGTACAACGTGAACTAATAACTCGTCCGCGTGTGACTTGGAACACCGCTCCGAGAACAAGCTCCCGGTCGTCTTTTCGCGTGCACCCGATTACGCGGCTACTTTCCGCTAAACAATTCGACTCACTCGGTAACTGAAAAAAAAATGGCGCAATTTTCTAACGGTCGAGATTACGCACATACAAGATACGCGCCTCGTGCGCGTATTTCTCGATGTCGGCGCGGAATAATCGCACCCTTTAAGCCCGTATCAGACTACGCATTGAAAATTGAAGATTGAAGATTAAAGATTGGAATTTGACTAACCAGAACAAAAAGGACTAAAATTTCTTTATTCTGATTGGTCAAATTTCAATCTTGAATTTTGAATCTCAATCTTCAATGCGTAGTCTGATACGGGCTTTAGGTCCACGGTCGGTCCTCCAATTATTGCCGATTGCTGGCGATCGGATTGGTTGATCGAATGGCGGCAACTTTCGAAATGAGACATATTGAAAATCTAGTAAATAATTAGTAAGTAGTAGATCTTTTAATAATAATATAGATTTCCAATTAGTAATAGTAAATTTAATGACTAAAAATTATCGTATGTAAAGTTAAGGAAAGTATAAATTTATCCGATTAGTTAATTATGTTTGGAATAAAATGTGAATTTATAAAAATGGGGGGGTGCAAACTTATAAAAATAACTTTATTATTATCATATGCCTTTTGCTGCACATATATGTCTCATTCTCTCAAATAATATTAATAATTTATATACTGAATAATCTCGAAAAAGGCAAAATATAAAGAGAAAATATATATGTGTAATATATATGTACATATATAATATTACCACATACACATTACATAAAAATAAGTAATCGATTGTTTCAAAACTACGAAAAAAATTAATTATTTAGAAAAAAGGTTTTAACATACATTGATTAGAAATACATTAGGCAGAAAATTAAAAATGTATGACAAAGAACAATTTAAAACTGTTAAGAAAGAAGTTGAGATGAGATGAAGCTCACTATGCTTAACAATAAGGTATGTACTTCCAGTTACAGCTTTAACGTTATATTATGTTCTTTTGTACAATAATCAATACGTTAACATTGGAATATGGCGCACAAATAATATGTCAATTTACGATCCATAATACATGTAACGATATACTTATTATGATAAGTGCGATATGTATATGTTTTAAAGTACTATACAAAATGTTGCTGGATGCCTAAATAATCATGTGTAATATAAGTCAACGATGACATATTTTTACGATCGTTATGTGTATTGTTGTACAATTCTATTTAAACAAAAATTGCCTAGTAAATAGAGTAGAAAATGACAAATCTGATGATTACATATAACGATTGCGATTCTGTCGCAAATTTGCAAACGCTGACGCGATCAGAAACATCCAATATATGTAAACTTACACCCACATATCATTAATTGTGTGGAAAAACTTATTTCAAAAATCTTAAATATTTTTAATCTATATATATATATATATTGATTCCTTAATTTTATTAAAACGCATATTTGGATATGTTTCATTATAGATAATATATTTTTAATTTTTATATATTAATATATTTCTATAATTATACTTTTATTTATCGCATTCTTTTCTTTTCTTTGCAAATAGACGACAGAATTACACAGAGTCAGCATACACAAGACTGACATAACAGATTGTCTTATATGTTATGTGCACATGATATATAGAAATCACGTATTTATTACATACACTTTGTAATTTTTCACTAATTCCTTATATCGCAATATTGTTTCTTATGTAATAGAGTTAGAGTACTATTGCGGTAAAAATGGGGATTAAGCAATTACAGAATATAAAATCTACTGTATAAGCGGAATATAATGTAACAACATTGTACTCAATTTTTAATAGTCTCTCGAGTTTATTTAGTATATTTCTCTCGTCTTTTTTCTCTCTTAATTGTATCAACCAAAAATGCTCAAAATTTAGTACACAAACGTGCTTTTGCACGCGTTATCCTGTTTTTTTTTTTAAGTATATAGAAATTGTATTGTGTGATAATTGAGCTTCTTAGAGAGAAGCCAAACTAATCAAATTTACTTTTCGTAAATTTCTCAATTTTAGTATCAGAGAGCACACATGATTAGTGCTCTGATACTAAAATTAACAAATTTACAAAAAAAAGAAGTTGATTAATCTAGCTTCTGAGAAGCTCGGATAAATCGATATCAAATAAAAAATTTAATGCATTAACATAGACCGTATTCACTGTATACTGCAAACTGCACGCATCAGATTATTACATATTTGCGTGTGTGTATAATGCTAAAAACTACATACAGTTATAAAATATTATATCTATATATATATATATATATATATATATACACATATACGTACACGTATCTAATGCAAATAACGCAATAAATAACATCTGCCCGAGCTGCCTCTGTTCCATCTCATACTTAACGTTTTGTGCTTTATAATTAACTTAAAAGATACATGAGGTAATAAGTTCATGATTCGCTACAAACGGTGGACATTGCTATGCATCGCTTTACAATGTTTAGAAGTTTGCTTTCAAGCATTTGAAAGAGATTGATCGCTTTCATGCTGCACAAAGTCCATTTCCATACATGTTGTTACTACAGTCTTTTTTTCCATAATGTTTACAATTAATGTAGATAATGTAAAATGGATGAAGATGATGATCAGCATATACAATAATCGAGTAACGAATAAACTTCAGTCAAGCCATTTTTCTATCATAATAAGAAATATTCATTTTTTTCAATTAATTAATTAATAAAGCATATTCATATAAATAATTAATATGGTTCAAACAATACTTGTAAATCATCTTAGCTACATACCATCGTTTTAATGTTTAACAATAAATACTTAAAGAGCTGTCTTAGTCTGCAATAAAGTTGCGTATTACAATTTAAAGAAATTTACAGCCATCATAATAATAAAATGTAAAACTAAAATTATATATAGGGCTCTCTTTAGCTTAAGTTTGTCTCAAACAGTATATATTAAATTGTGTTTCCTCCTCTCAGAATGTGTATCCTCATGCTATACGTATCGAAAATTTATATGCAATAAAAGTGGCAGATTTCAATATATATAAATATATATACTTATATATGTATATATTAGTAATATACGTAGATTATATATAAAGTGAAAGAAAAAAAAAAGAAAGGGAGCGAAAGTAAGAAGAGCAAAAAGAAGAATGTATATAATGTGCATAGAAATTAATAATAAGTTACTAATATATGTAGTATATACAGAGAGCACACATGATTAGTGCTCTGATACTAAAATTAACAAATTTACAAAAAAAAGAAGTTGATTAATCTAGCTTCTGAGAAGCTCGGATAAATCGATATCAAATAAAAAATTTAATGCATTAACATAGACCGTATTCACTGTATACTGCAAACTGCACGCATCAGATTATTACATATTTGCGTGTGTGTATAATGCTAAAAACTACATACAGTTATAAAATATTATATCTATATATATATATATATATATATATATACACATATACGTACACGTATCTAATGCAAATAACGCAATAAATAACATCTGCCCGAGCTGCCTCTGTTCCATCTCATACTTAACGTTTTGTGCTTTATAATTAACTTAAAAGATACATGAGGTAATAAGTTCATGATTCGCTACAAACGGTGGACATTGCTATGCATCGCTTTACAATGTTTAGAAGTTTGCTTTCAAGCATTTGAAAGAGATTGATCGCTTTCATGCTGCACAAAGTCCATTTCCATACATGTTGTTACTACAGTCTTTTTTTCCATAATGTTTACAATTAATGTAGATAATGTAAAATGGATGAAGATGATGATCAGCATATACAATAATCGAGTAACGAATAAACTTCAGTCAAGCCATTTTTCTATCATAATAAGAAATATTCATTTTTTTCAATTAATTAATTAATAAAGCATATTCATATAAATAATTAATATGGTTCAAACAATACTTGTAAATCATCTTAGCTACATACCATCGTTTTAATGTTTAACAATAAATACTTAAAGAGCTGTCTTAGTCTGCAATAAAGTTGCGTATTACAATTTAAAGAAATTTACAGCCATCATAATAATAAAATGTAAAACTAAAATTATATATAGGGCTCTCTTTAGCTTAAGTTTGTCTCAAACAGTATATATTAAATTGTGTTTCCTCCTCTCAGAATGTGTATCCTCATGCTATACGTATCGAAAATTTATATGCAATAAAAGTGGCAGATTTCAATATATATAAATATATATACTTATATATGTATATATTAGTAATATACGTAGATTATATATAAAGTGAAAGAAAAAAAAAAGAAAGGGAGCGAAAGTAAGAAGAGCAAAAAGAAGAATGTATATAATGTGCATAGAAATTAATAATAAGTTACTAATATATGTAGTATATATACTACATTTACAGAAAGTTTGAAAAAGATAATATACATATCATAACACGTATATATTATCTTTTAAAAAATTTTTTTCTGGTAAAAATAAAAAATAATAATATATAATTAAGGCAGCAACTGGAAAAAGATACATAAGTAAAAATTCTATTTTCATTTATCTTACAGAATACTCTTGAAAGCAATTACAATTGCAACTGTCCAATTATAATTATTTTCGCGCGAATACTCTGTAAGATAAAGCAAAAATACTTTTAATGCATTTTTTTCTCAAAAAGTTGGGCATACTCTTATAATAAAGTTTTATGTATCTCTTCTTCAGTTATGATTTCACTTAAGAAAATAGATACAAATTTTGTTTTAATAAACTAATAATTTGTAAATATCTTCTTTTTAATCATTTGATTATTAAAAGTTTCGATTATAAATGTACAGATTGTTCCAGTAAAAATATTCTGATTATTTGGACGCTGTTATTTGAATGCTTTTAAGAAAATTTATGTTTATTAGATATACTTTTAGTGTGTTGAAAAAGATGTTTATTTAGACAACATATTGAAAGTATAAACTGCTAGGAAACAATAGTTTGGTATAACAGTTTTGCAATTATCTCTTCCTGAATAAATCTATTACATCTTCATATTATATTTTCTTTAATAAATAAGTAAACAAATTTCTCCACATTTTTCTTTTTCATTATTGTAGTAGGCTCTCTATTTTTAAATTATTAATAATTTCTCTCTACTTTTCTATTGTTATTAAATTACGATTTTTCGAATCAGACTTATATATGTCCATATCACTTTTCTTTGCTTAAAATTGAATAACATCTCTAAAGATTCCATCTCATTTTTCCTGGAACGACCTGTATAAATAAAATACAATTATAAAATACATAAAACATATGATATGTTTATCATTGTAGAAAAACGTGAATTGTGCGGGTGGAGTGATAAAGAACATTGTTCATAGAATGATAACTTAGACATAATTGTGTTACTAAATAGCATCCCATGCGTCGGGATCGAATAAATCTCGATTTTTTACGGATCGAGAATTTTATCGGACGTTATCCGATTTGGCAATTTCTGCATATGTATTATTAGGCTTCAACAAAATTACTGTTGAAAATAAACCTATTCAAAATTTAAAAACAAATAAAGCTTTTTCATATCTGTTTGCATCTTTAAAATTTCGAGTTCTCAGCTGCAAATATTAGATAAAGTTAAAAGGGAAGCTATTTGTTTGAATGCGAGAACAATAGATATTTAAGAGACTGGACGAATTTTGATATAAAGAATATACATGTCAAAATATTCTAACAAATAACGTCTTGAAAACCTAGTGCATACAGATAAGAAATCTTATTTTCCATCTAATAGAAAATAAACTTTTTAACAGAAGATCTCTATTTGGCTGTTTCTAATTATATTTAATATTAAATAAAAGCGAATAAAAAAATATAAAGTTTATTAGCAAACTCATTAATTGATATCAGTTATATGTGTACATATGTCATTATTTATGCGAAAGAAATATGAAATTCTTGCTTAAATTGTTTCTTATATCTCAGACTCGATACGGAATATAATATTCTTATTAATTCAGTTTATGGACAATAAATGCAGCGTCATCGTATATATTATACGCGCAGATAAGCTTTCCAATTTTAAATTACAGTAAAAAACATATAAGTGTATATAAAGTTGTCCAAGATTATGCAAAATGTAGGAAATATATTAACAAAATCAAGCTAATAATGGTCCCGAAATTGTCAGTATAAAAGTTGTGACTGTTAAATAAAGAATAGTCTAAAATGAAAAGATTGAAATGCTTGTTACTCTTTTTAACGAGATGTTATGATATATCCTATATGTCAAACTGATAATAACTCGAATACACATCCGTCTAATAAACTCAAATTGTCTATTCCAGATATCTCCAAACAGCTACAAAGAAAATTGACTTACAGATTCTTTGACTAATTTTAAGTCCACTGTTTCTCAATAAACATTTAATGCCATTCTTTCTCTCATCTCATCAATTTTCAATATTTAATATCTCAATAAGAAAGTTTTTCTTCTCTCTCTTCTCATATATATATATAACTTAGGATTTAATAAAATATTAAATAAACGCGACAATTTTCTATCTGTTATATAAACATTAATTCGCAGATTATTTTTATTTTTATTCTCACGTATATTATTATGAAAAAACTATTGATGTTTCAACATTTGTATATATGTATATATATAAGGAAAGTTTCGTCAGAGAATCTGTAAAGATAGTTTTCTTTGCATTAGAGCCAAAAATACCCTATCAAGAAACTGTCTTATAAGCTTGTATGTCTTTTTGTATGCGTTTTTGTTGAACTGTGAGAGCAGAAAAAGATAAATCGCCTAGAGAACAACATCGGGCAGGGAGCAATGCCACTAGGCTAGCTGCGTTCCACTTCGTCCGGCGTGATGTCCCATGCCAATCATGGAACCACCACTTCCTATATCATCACGAACAGTCTTCTTTTCCTTGTAATAAATTTCTTCACTTTCCTTCTCGCATAACAGCAGAACTGCTCCACCAACCAGAAAGATGACTGCGCCCCAACCAACACCATATGCCCAACCAAATTCCCAATTGGTTCGATTTCCTAAATATTAAGTATTTTATAAATTTACAAATATATATATTCGCAATATATTTGTTTCTTTTTAATTTATCAAAGGCATGTAATTAAGTTAATTATTAAAATCTTACCAAGATTCAATTCTGCTGCAAAACATATGGGATATATGATTAGTGCTATCAAGAGAGACACCACTGAAACACAATGAGATATATGATTATATAAAAATAGAGTTGGAGAGAGGAAAAAAAAGCTCATATAATACTTACATGCAATAGCCATACAAAACACTGCAAATCTATAATATTTGTGCTTGTCTCTGTGATCCTGTGTACGCAAACCCAAACCAGTGAGAACTGTCGCAGCAATGTCTGTTAGAAGGCAAACTACACATAACGCTGCAGCTGCTTTTATATAAGCTGCAATGTAAAATACAAAATAATAATCTATTGTTTCTTCTTGTTTCGTTCAGTAAAAAAATTAATATAAAATGAATAATACCACTATCTCTTGCAGGATAACATCCTGGAGGATCAGGCATGTTAAAGGGAAGTGGCGTTGGGGCACCATCTTCGATACAATGGGCGAATAAGCCCTGTCTCCATCCCAGAGCCATCAGCCAGTCAGTCGATGCTAGGCCCATTATCATCAGCAGTACCACTATGATACCACATATAAATGCGATCACCTGTAAAGTAATTAACCATGTGTGATCATCAAGATACTCATTGTATCAGCATTGAACATCATCATCACAATTATAATACAATATATTGTAAGAAAGGCTTCAGAAAAAGAAAAATATAAATTTAGTAGATGGTACCTGCGCGATTTCGGTATCGCCCATATGATCTTCCGCGACCGTATACATAATCATTTTATTTCTGAATTCGCAATCCAACTGGAAAAACACGCGCGACGAAGAGTGTAACTTCGTAGCCGAGATCGTAATTGACAGATCCTTAAAGACGAACAACCGACGACATTATCCCGGAGCGGCGCTCGTAAAACATCGTCCACAGTTTTCGACCACGTTCCAAGTACGCTGCGTCGATACGCCGGCGAAAGAGACAGATGACAGAATCGCGAATCTCTTTAATTAACACCGAGATATGCCGCGGGTCGCGAAATAACGTACGTCGAAGGTTTCGCGCGACGATCGTGATTTCGCATATTAAAGGGGGAGGGAGATAGGGTTAATTAACGGGCGCGCGGGTCAACGGCTTTCATCGCGGCTGGCCTGCAATACATATTATTGGACGAGGGCAACCCTCGCGCGAACTATTTTTTTTTTCTTTTTCGGAGCGGACGGAATAACAGATCTCCCACAACGGCAGTGTTGGTTGGCGTCGACGCCGACGAACGCGGACTGATTTTAATAATTGTAATACGCGTACACTATATATGTACGAAAAACAAGAAAAAAGGGAAAGAGAACACACACTCTCCGCGACTGGGATTGGGAGGAAGCAATTGCGGATTCCAGGTTCCAGGGAGGCTGCGCCCATCAGCGCCCATTAAAGGTCGCGGCGCAGTGCGCGCGAGTGCCAATCTCTGCATTCTCCTGTTTTCTTTCCTTTCTTTCATTTCTTTTTAATTTTCCTTCTCTCTCTACCCATTCTTTTCCCATTTTTATATTATGTGTATTTGTGTGCGATATCAAAATTAATAAATTTAAAGTAGAATAAATATGACAGATGTTGACAGATGTCAAAATGTTCGAATTTTGCAAAATATTTATGTACATTTATTTTATTGTTTATAATATCCTCCAATACTTTGCATCATTTTTATGAAAACATGCTAAAAAGTAAGAGAAAACAGCTAATCTATTACACAATATAAAAACTCACAATATTAGCTATGAATAATTTAATTTAAAAAACTAAAAAGATTAATACCTATATATTTATTTATATATATAATATATGTAATAAAATCTTTTTGGAAAAGTAAAAGATATGCATAATTAAACTTTTAACTTACCTTAAGTGGTCTGGTTATAGTAAGAGTTTCAATAGTAGTCGTTTGAGACATTGTTTTTGCTTCTATTTTGAATTAGCTGTAAAAAAAAAAGAAAAAAATCATAATTAAAAAAATAATGTATATTTTTGAGAAAATAAATGTTTGCATAATCTTTGAATCATTACGCTAAATTAAGGAGAATAAAATAATGTGTTTCAATTGCATAAGGCAAAAATAAAATATAAAGTCATCAACATGATATTTTACTTAAGATATTTGACAAGAAATAAATATTATAAAATAATTTGTTTAGGATATTTCTACAAGTTCCTAAGAAAATATATAGAAGAAGTAGAATGTTTATTGCAAATACAGTTACAATATGCAAGTTTAAACGGTACTTATTTTTATTATTCTTATATAGGATTGAACATGAATTTAATGACAATAATATTGAACTTACAATATCTTGTAAATTTCTATTGTATAATATTGAATCGATATGCAAATATAAACTCTTTGGCTAAATCACAAGACTAAAACAAAAAATATTGAAAAGTTATTGACATTTGAGATGAGAAATCTAAGTAAGAGGTATTATCTTAAATATTACGTACAATTTCAATTTGAAATTTGTTTCCATTGTCTATATTTTAATTAAGTCTATTTGTTTTAACTGCATTTTTCATTCGATTCAATTTTTTCTATTCAATCTTTTTATCCTTCTTTCCAAAACTTGAATATACATTCACTTGGAATTAAAACTAATGAATTTATTTCTATGTTCTTTGCATATATCCAAATTAATCATTGTATCAGTGAAGTAACAAACGTTTCAATAAATCGTATTTGAAGTTATTGAGAGTTCTAGCTAATCCATTGGAAATACAGAAGGTGAAAAACTCATATTCTAACCTCGACATATACTGTCTCAAAAGGGAAGCTAACATATTTATAGTCAAATGTCGAAAGTTTTTATTTATTTTAGCATGAAAATTAGATATAAATATATTATTACTACCTTTAGATAGAAAATTCTATTTGTCCCATTGCATGTGCCAATTATTGGCACACAAATTGTGGATTTCAAAACTAGGTGAGCACTAGCTGATTACAAAGATCCCGGGAACAGATCTTGATTTTGAACACGATAAAACGTTTGTTCGCATTAATTTTCTCATCGAACTTATATTTAATATACGCGCACAACAATAATAGAGAGCTTGCTCATAAATGCTAACTATCCATAAGGCTTCGTTTTTTTTCACCGATTGCAATTATGATCTTAGTCACACCACATTTGCATAGACTACAACTTTTTCGGAAAATGGAAGTTTGTAAAAAAAAGCATAAATTTTCACGAATGAGATATAATAGAGAAATATAATTGAGATAGCTTTTATTAAAGGAGAGTATTTTAAAACTATGTATTTAATATTTGAGCGAACTTTTTAGAATCACGATGCGTCATTTTGACAATTTATGCTTTTTTGTACTCTGTCATTGCTGATTCAAGCTGATTGAATCATTACACGCTTTCTATCTTCCTTCCTTTATGGATTTCCGTCCTCTTCTGGGACAAAGTACCACTTTTTATATCTAGAAAATCTCACTAAAATCTGAATGCAAATACGTGACTATCTAGACACAATGCGTCCAAAAAATTTCTAAACCGGAAGTGAGGACATTCTGACATCTCTATATGGGCTCTAACCAATGAACCTTTCGCTTACGAATAAGCTGTAAATCGATTGGCTATCATGTTGCTTTTTATCCCATATAACGCATCCTGAATGCAGCTAATACTCTGTCTATGAATTTTATATCTATGGTTATAGCGAGTTACCGGTTACCATAGACATAGTATATCTAGACCAAGCGTTTGCCTTTATTTAAGGAGTGGGGGCCGATGCCCACGTAGAAAAGGACATACTCTGTTTCGTGCCCCTTGCGTTCTCTCTCGCTCGCACGTAACATAGCGTACTCCATAGACATAGTATATCTAGACCGAGCGTTTGCCTTTATTTAAGGAGTGGGGGCCGATGCCCACGTAGAAAAGGACATACTCTGTTTCGTGCCCCTTGCGTTCTCTCTCGCTCGCACAGAGCATAGCGCTCTCTTTCATCATGCTACGTGCGAGCGAGAGAGAACGCAAGGGGCACGAAACAGAGTACGTCCTTTTCTACGTGGGCATCGGCCCCCACTCCTCAACACTCGGTCTAGATATACTATGTCTATGCCGGTTACCATAGATTTCTATATATATTACCTGTGCTGGTTACAGTCGGCCATAATGCGGCAAGGAATGGCAAGGAAATCATACGGAACAGCAGCAAGGAGGATTAAATTATACATTACGGCAAGAGGTAATAGAATCGAAAGAAATTATGTTCTATAAAAAGAATAGATTTCAGTAATCAATAATTTCTTTTTAATTGGCGATTATATAATAGTTTGCCGAAATAACTAAATTGTGCTCGCGTTATGTATCCTTTGTAATCCACGTGCATCCACTGCAATTGTTTGTCTTATTTTAATATACATGCTCGCATTAGAATTCAATTTAAATAATTAAATTGGAGATGTATTTATTATAACATTTAGAAAATAAAAGGAAGCGATTTCCTATGTGATCATTTTGTATATAAAGTGTGCATCTCTCTTGTGTGTAGATCTAAAAGGATGAAATTTTCTAAGTATGAAATCACATGATTATTCATACATGCACTACCAACTGAAACATTTTATAAATATTTATGTTTATCAAGATGGTGTTTGAGCATATATAAATTATGTTAATAATTTCTTTCAGAATTATATGATGCGTGTCGATATAATTGCAGCAAACCAGGTGAGCATCATTATTTGTTATATATAAATTACATGTGCTTTTAATATTTAAATATAAATAATACAGGATGAAATATTAGGCGTATGAAATAATAGGATAAAAGTTTCACCTAAATTTTTACTCTATTATGATTATTTCTACATGCACTACCATCTGAAGTAAATTAAACATTTTTTGTGAAAAGCATTAGTGTTAAAAATGTGACTAATTCATCATATTTTTGCAGGATACATAGGAATACTATAAAAGGATCTGCACAAATAAAATGATTGCAGAGGTTTAATGAAGAGTGTAAGTATATGTGCATATAAAATAAATTATATGTGAGGAAATATTAAAATTAATGAGACTAATTATTGCAATGAATTGAAAGGTCAATTTATTTAATATGCTTACTTGCTGCATAATAAAATCATAAAAGCTATGGAAATGATTTGGTCTTGGAAGTATCTTTTGGTTAATAAACTAAATTTTGTATTTTAAATGCGATATGATAAATGAAATAAGACAAATGCATTGCAATGTAAGAGGACTTTTTCAAAAAAGATCATGTAAAAAATGTTGAAAGATTAAATTAATAGGTCATTAAAAAAGTTTTGTCTCATTACTATTTGATACATCCTCCAAAATATATAAAATTAATGATATAATGTTACTGTGTGTAGTCAATATATTATATATATATGATTTAATAAATGTTAAAATATATATTTTCTAAAGAAATCTTAATCTGTAAGAAAGCATAATTTTTTTTTATTATATGAAATAAAAAAATAGGTTTAGATTGATACTTGTCAAACACATTGTAAAACTAAAATCAAGAAATATAAGTTGACTAGTTATTCTAATCGTATTTTTTGTATTATAGAAACAAAAAAAAAATGAGACAAATATATACTGCACATAGTTCTCTAATGGTAGTTCCCCAATTTCGATAAAACATTTAATAAGGGTTATAATTTAAAGTTAACAAAAATTGCTTATAAAAAAACGTAAAAGGGGAGAGTACTCTAGTCTAATAAATAAAATAAATAAGCCTTAAACTCAAGTATGAAAAATTGATAACTGCAATGGCAGTAATAAAATGCACATGTAAAGGATACGGCACATTTATTATCTGTAATGGTTCTTTCATTCTGTTTTCTTTTCTTCCTTTTTCTTAAGCAATGTTTCATAAATTGACAATGTTCATTATGCATATCAGCATTACAAAACTACGAATGATTATGGATTGGTAAAATACGAAACTTGTAAACGATTGTATCCAGCGAAATACGAATTTTCTGGTACATATCATTTTAGTATAAACAATTTTAGTATCTTTATATGCATCGGAAAATATATGATAATACATATATTTTTTGAAATAACATAAATGCCATATGTGTAAATTTAAAATTATTTGTATCAATAAAGTAACAACTAAAGTTTACATGCTATGTCATCAATTGCAACGAGTTTTGTTAAAAAAATTATTTTCTTTATTTAGATTTTTAACGTTATTTCCTCATAGAATCACGCATATTATTCACAATACATTGCGCGAAATTCCGATTGGGTCAGTAATTGGTTTCGATTCGACAACGATGAGATTATGCGGAAACGCGAGTTTCCAAAAAATAATACAATTCTCGTGATAGAGTTGCATATGTGTGTGTGTGTGTGTGTGTGTGTGTATGTCAAGTATACATAAAACTATATTAATATACTTTAAAAATATCGTATATATATATATATATCTACCCATATTTACCTACAACATATTTTCCTTCATACGTATATACATACATATACATATATTACGCGTTGCTTTTTTTTATTGTTGCAATCAATCATATGTATATATATACCGCAAGTATACATAAATCTTCAAGGCACTCCTGATGTATATTACATTCATATTTTACAAGTGTTGTGTTTGTCCAGCATTTGATGAACGGGGCATTTTGACGAGAGACGCAAAACAGAAATTATTTTACTAAATTTAAAAGCGATAATTTTAAAATATCGCCCTGTGTACGCGCATTTATACAACAAACGAAAAAGCGATGCAGACATTATGGAAATTGGAGAAATGCATCTTTTTTTTCTTTTTTTCTCTTTCTTTTTTTTATACACTTTCAAATTGCATTATCGTGTAACTATCTTTATAGTTTTCTATGTACGTTGCCAAGATTCTTTCGTGGAATATTCAATTTTAGAACAAGCATATTAGAAGCAGATCTTTTCCAGTGTTGCATTGCATGCTTCCCAATTCTTCGCGAAACCAACATATAAATGGTTTCATTATTTTATGACACAGATTTGTATTAAAACCCGTTTCAATAGTAGAAGAAGACGCGTCTTGCTTTCTTACTTTGCTTCGCCCCACAACATAATTTCCACATTCAAAATGGAAAGAAGAACTTTTTACTTTATTGTACTCATCAAGTAGCTGATTTTTATCCATTTTTAGTATAAAATAAATCGCAATATGTCGCGACGAAGCAAGGCACGTCTTTATTTAATACAAACGGGCGGTAAACAGTGATTACTATAAACAAACATGTATATCATATGCCAGTTAAATTATTAACGCGATCCAAGTATTCGAGACTATGAAATCGAAATTTTTTCAAATATGTAGATTTTATTCCGAATGTCGTTATATTTATCCAAAAAATAGAGATTGATATACCAAATATTGCCTATACGTGTTTGCTGCCTCTGTGTCTCATATAACTTTGGCTTCCCGCTTTAGTAATAGCAAGTTTCACAAGCCTTCGTATTCGTTACTTAAATACAGTATGTTACAGAAAAACGCTTATTTATAAGAATGCATGTACATCACCATCGCTTACTCCTAGTAACATTTAGGATAATGTACACAAACAAGACATGTACAGATTCTTCGACTGGATAATAGTTTTGATACACTGTTGCGCCAACTTCAAATACCAATCTCAGTCGGTTTTCTGCTGATATAGTTCTTTTAATGATTTCAATTCGTCGATTAACGTCTGATTTCTATTCTCCAATACCGCAACACGATTTTCTAAGCACTTTATATATTCCTTTTTCTTTCTTCTACATTCACGCGCTGCCTCCCTAAATACATTCAAAATATAGAGGTAAGATTTTTTACTGCATACACACACTATATACAAAAAAGAAGATATTTTTATCTTTGTGTAATATAAGATTTCTTTGTACAAATGTGTTCAATGTGGACAAATTTTTGCTTACCTATTTTTAAGCAACCTTAATTCTCTCTTTCGCGCCGCATCTTCCACTACAACCCCATGACCTGTGTAAGCTGGAACATTGTGAGAGACTGCACTTTTCAAATTTTTGTATTGTACGCGTCAAAATTTTATATGATTTTCTACTAAACTCTGCTTATTTTGCTCGATAAGAATTACTACTATATTTGCCAAAAGAAAACAGCTTAGATAATATGTCAAACTCAGATCGTCAGATTTATAGTATAATGTATGTATTACTAATATATTAATGCTATATATTAATATATTACTTTTTTGTATATTAACTAAACTATAATTGCACATAATAACACAACATTATAGTAATGTGCTGAAAAAGAAAAAAGTTACAATAATGTATTATTTCAGAATAATACAATATTGTGTTATAAAAGCAAAGCATTGAGAAATAAAATAAGACTTTCTGACATCTCGGAAATGATGCAAAAGCACACCTGGGACAAAAAATTGAGGGTCCTGGCCCTGTGCATACTGCACTATAGCTCCACCCGCTGTCGCCGCGTTGCTCATAGTTAATGTGTGAAGCCCCGGAACTCCCTCCCCTTGGGTCGCAATTTGAATAGTACCGGCAGGAATTACTGTAAAACAAATTATATCGGAGATACATAACGCATATTTAAAGGAAATTAATTTGTAAATAACAATATGTCGCGCGTGTATCACAATAACGCAATGCTGAAAATGATAATGCGCTTGCATTGAAAAAGATTTTATATGCGTGATAATATGATACTTATTGCGTCTTTAATATCTCATTCGAAAAATAATCTTTTAAGATATTAGCATTTTTTCCCCCGCATGATTCGAATGACAAATATATCGACATCATCCCATAAGAATGCCACACCAAGCGAGTATCGTGAAAAATGATATATCACGTATTAGGCAGTACACACAGGGATGGAAGACAATTGTAAACATGAGAGTGTGCATCTCTTGATTTATATAAACCGTTTATTTTTTATTTTTAAGTACCCCTCTAACATCATCTCCTTTAGTATGCAGAAGAATACAAAGAACTATACATATATATATATAGACAGCCTGTGGAACGTAATACAGCCAGGAAAGATACGTAAAAGGAAGATAAAGTAACCAACCTGTTTGGTAATGGAGCGAATGGGAAGACACTTCACTGTCCACGTTAGAATCACACTCGGAAGATGATTCTAAGGGGGGCAAACGACCGTCTGTAACACCGAATCAATCCAAACCCCCATTAGCTCGTATCCGATATCGCGCTAATATATATGCGTCATTCTATATACAATGTACCGCTTTCTTTCCCTTTTTTTTTTCCAGAGCGCCAAGTCAAATACTTTATTGAACAAAATTTGAGTCGCATGGGATAAATATATTCTATACTTGCAAGAGAGCATTTGTGCATCCAGAGATTAAAGTTCTTTTTACCATAGTGATAAATGAAAAGAACAAAATAAGAATTCGTCATATGACCATAATTTATTGAACTATTTCTTTTCTGGCTGTTGATTATATAGCTGTATATTTATCATTGCGCTGTGTGCAGTCAGCTCATACAAAAAACAAAAAAATGGAAAATATTTTGAATTATTGAAAATAATTTATTCATTAGATAAGAAATAATTAAACGTCAGATATACAGAAATAATTTATGTAAATGATATTGGTCATTCCATATATAAATAAACGCAAAGTATATTCTCTATGAAAACACATACAAACTTATATAATTACATATGTATTAATATAAATATTTTATTTCTATATAAATTATGATAAGGATATATACAAGATGTACCAAGAACGGTACAATGACATGCGCGGTTTATGATCTGCAAAAAGATTATCCCATTTTTAAATTGCTCAAGAAATAAATTTAGAAAAATCGTTTATTTATTTATGTGTTTGATGCTGTATGTTATTATATGGCAAAGAATCTTATTTTATTTAAATATCTCTTTGTGTGTTATAATATATACTGTTCTTTTCATTTATCAAAAATCGATATTTATTTGTAATATTGATGCCACTTGATTTTACCTTTTAATATACTCCGCATACATTAGAAATTAATCAAAGAATGTAAATTTCAAGCTGCTAATCATAAATAACATTTGGTGCTCGATAGTATATTATGGTGGACAATAGTGTATTCGTTGATGAAAAGTATTTAGAAATTATATCTTTTTCTAACCAAGATAGACAATTTCTGGCTTTCGTTTATTCGATTTCTTTTATTATTAGAGATATAGGGTTTATCTTTTCCAATCTTTCTTTAATTTCTTTTTCGGTTACTTGTTTGGTTGCTTAATATAACATTATGATAGGTTAGAGGAGCAATCTATGCATAAATCCTTCCAAAATCTTAACTTTTTCACATCTTAATTTCCACATCTGTTTTCAAAGTTAACAATTCAATGTTTGCTATATATATACATATATATTGTACAGTACAAGCTTGGTATGGCATACTTTTCTTATACATGCAACAAAAATATATAATTTTATAACTGTTGTATAATTGTATAAGATGTCTCAATATTGCATAAATTTCTGTAACGTCTTGAAAAAGCTTTCGTTATTTGCAATTTAAATTACTGAAATATATTTAAGAGCTTTAACATATCAAATATTCATTATACCATAGCTAATTGGCAATAGCATACATATATATGTGACATACATATCTTAATATATATAATAATGTTTGAAAAAAAGAAAAGGACACTTAAATATCAGTAATGCTAGATATTCTTATAGCTGAAGTTTTTTAATTTTATGACTTTAAGATATATATGCAAAAATATGCAAGTTACTATATTGTTTATTCGTTTTGTGTCTACATATATATATTCATTTATTGATTTGTATGAACTGACATGCACTCAAACTTCTTATATGATCAAGTAAAATTACGCGAATGTAATTATTAATCTTTAATATTTCTTCTACAATTTATATCTGCGATAAATCGTTAGGTAAATTACGCGGATAAAACAGTTCTTCTTGATATTGTAAATTCCTGTCACATGATATAAGTGTCTACGAGCATTTTTTTAAAAAGAGATTATTTTACCTGTGATTTCTCCTCCGCCTAAATCGTTGAGAATCTTTCTATAAGATGGTCGTCTGGTAAGAATATTTCTCTTCTTAGGTGAGTCTTCATCTGAGAAGCTGTCATCACTACCAGTTTCAACCACCTTAACAAAGAGAGAATTTATTAATTATTTCTAATGCTTTATTATTAAATTATTTAAATGTTCTATTTTTTCACATATACAATAGATATAATTGTGTTGCACATATTAATATCTATCTAAATAATTCTGGGACACAATATTACAAGGAATTGATACAAACTTTACCTGAAGAGTTTGCAAACTCCCCTGTGCAGTTTGTATAACGGAATTAGGTTTGCTAACCAGAATAACGTTTCCTTTAGAGATGGCAACAGGTTGTATGTTCGTCGCGGTTTGTATTACAGACTGTTGATTGGGTTGTATGACTGATTGCACCTACATAAAGGTCACAGAAATGTCAAGTATTACAAAAGGTTACATCATTAAAACTATACTTACAGACACACATGATCATTATTCCTTACATATATTTAAAACGCGTATAATATTATATGCGCATCGATATCCATCAATATAATAATTTGCTATAATAAAGGAATAATGTACATGTTATTTGTTGTGTGTAATGTAAGAACAGTTGCGAAACCTATTTAAAACTTCAAACTTATATGCTTAGTTTTACATTCGCAAAAAGTATT